AACGCCGGGCTTGCGGTCTGATCGATGGCCAAAAGCCATTCATTTAAAGGACATCATAATCAAGTCCCAAAAGACAAACGGGCGGGCAAACAGCAATCTGTCAGGGTATACAAATACATACGAGCAAAAATTATTATTTAATTACTCACACCGACTTTTGCAGATGCTGTGTGGCAATTAAATCAATATAAAAGAGCTACAAAATGAATGCATAAATAATTGATTTCATTTTCCATGCTTGTCTCAAAGTACAGAGAAAGAGGGTCGAATCCTGCCTGGGGTTTGGTTTCGCTAGTATGTTATTTATTATACAAAAATTGTGTGTTTAACTTTTTGATATGCACACAGCTCTCTGAATTGCACATCTTCCCAGCCTTAAAAAGGCTCATCTGTTCAACCAAACTATTGTTAATCGGAGATCATACGAATTTTTGATTATGTTAACTAGATTCTCCATTCAGATAGTATATTTCATAATAATAAAACATGCTATTTAATTGAATAAGCCCAAAGAAAAATAAATAATGTTTACTACATTTCCAATTTCATAGTAAACTTTCGAAATCAGATCTTATTAACTATGATCTGCTTTAAATTCCCCACGATCGAGACAGGGGGATAGCAAATGAGGGAGACATGTTTATAAATAAATAATTTAAAAAACCGTGAATATTTGCTCCAAATGACCAACGAAATTTATGCTTTTAAATATTTATATTTAATTTGATACACAATACACAATATATACTGATTCAGCGTAATAATTGTGTAGATTATATAACAAAATCAAGTTGTTTTCTGCATTTGCATAGCTTTTTAATTTTTTAAATCTTTTGAGCGCTAGCTTAATTAAAAAAAGAGTTTTGAATTTTCATATATATATTTGATTGCTTATATTATCTCACAATAATTTTTTACATCGCATTTCACTCTGTAATTTGCTTGATGCCAAGCCCCGGGCATAGCATACAAATATTGCAAATATAAATTACAAATTTATGTGTTAAATTTCGACGCGGCTTTGTTGCTGCCAGTGGCATCCATTTTCACATTATGAATTTATGTGCAGTCTTGGAAACAAAAAAAAAAACACATTCCTCATATACAAATTTATATTGATGTGTGCATATGTATTTGTATGCATTTAACATTTTCAGGGCAGTTGTGCCCTCAAAACCAGCAAATGTGTGAGTGAGTGTGTATGTATGTGTGAGCTTATGGCATAAATTGTAAATAGGAATATGAAACGACGCAATGAGATCCAATATGAAATATACTCGGACTTATAGTCTGACACTGGCACGGTCTGTCGCTAGGGCTAGCTGACTGTGCCTCAGCTCATTCCCTACACTATGTGACTGGCGTGTGTAAAGAGGGAGTGTAGGGCAGGCTTGAATGTGTTCCCTGCTGCGGCTCGTTTGTCTGTCACGCAGTATGACACTTGTGCTCGAATGCAGCTGCACAGCTACACTGCTGCAGGGTTGTTTATAAAATGCTCTATGTTAATAAAATAAAATAGTTTAATAATAATCGTTTATTTAAATGATTTTTGAACAATTTTGCCAAATTTAAGATCTTATCTAATTTTCTGTCGGCCGAATCATCATTTGAACAAATTTAAGTGAAATTGAATTCCATTTTATACCAGACTGATCTTTATTAGTAGTATATAATCCATTCAGATTACTATAAATTAAAAAAAAAAAAAGTATGTAAATGATGTATTGGAAAATTATTAAATATATGAGAAAAGCTCACCAATGAGAGCAATTATGATACCACCAGCCCGATTTGTGGAGCATAGCGCACTCGTTATCCATGTCTGCAGTTGAGAATATGGTGTTGTTGTGTTTGGTCAACCAATCGCCTGCATTACCAGAATATTCTCCAAGAATTCTTAGCATATATGATGTAGCCTCGTCAGCTATCAGAAACTCACTGTATCGGGCAAAACGATGTTGATTTTCAAAATCCTCAAGATGTATATATAACTCGTGTTTCTGTGACTTGGTCATTAAATGCAGTTTCTCAAGACCGATAAAAAACTCTCCATCCAGATTACCAAATCCCTGACGATATTCTGCCGAGTTTCTGTTAAAATTAACGCTTCCATCCTGTCGCCTCTGTATGACTGTCCAACCGGAACCAGCCAAAGTGGAGTCACAGGGCACCAGAAATGAGTCGATGCCAGGCACTTCTATCTCGTAAATTTCGGTCAATTTACCAATACAATTTGACTTAAAGGATTTTTTCACTTTATTTGCATCGCTTAACAAAACTCTAGACAGCATTTGATCAATTATCATTTCTTTAGCCTTGTTGTTTATTTCACAGACACTTAAATTGGCTTCCATCGCTCCTAATAGCTTCTGATATGTTATTATCATTTCCTCTTGCTCTATAATCTGCTGGTGTAAACCTTGTATGTTCATTGTTTGTTCAAGTGTGGGCTTTATTTTATGCACAAAATATGCTGACCAGTTTTCTTCCATTTCTTTGATAAAATCTTCCCTAGATTTTATCTTTGGCATATTGGGAACTTCACTCTCTGGCTCCTCCTGTTTTTTTTGATGATTTTCTGACTCTAATATCCAAATGACTACGCACACTATTAAAATAAATTGCAATTTTGAACTCATGGTTATTGAAAATACCCGATTACAATCATCACACAGTCAAGTTCAACAGAAGACTGAATCTGTTTGAGCGCGAACCGGCCATGAAGCTTTGTGTTTATACTCATGTGTACATGTATAAAAGCTGCTCAAATTGCAGCTGTTGCTTCTCTAATAAATATTTAAATGCTAACTGATATGAGTAATTTTATATTTTTCTTTAGCTATCGCACGTACGTTATTTTAAAGGAGGAAAGTAATTGCTTACAATTTTTATTATTCCCATAATATATACGAGTTTGCCTGCTATGTACATGATTACAAAAGGTCTCTCATTCGAACGATGGTCTGAAGTATATACTCTTCATATTTCGGCGAGTGACGATCCTACGGGCGCCGCTTGGATCTTGGCCATGAAGTGGCAGATCCTATTTCAAATACCCATATAGAAGTCCCATTTGTGTGTATGCATTTATATGTTTCATATATGTATATGCAATGTTGATATGTATGCGTGTGCATGATTACATTACCGTACAAAAAATATTGATATTGTTTGCTTTCGGTCGAATCATCACGAAGTTGGTTTAACTGAGCTGCAAGTAAAATATTGAAATTAATGATAAACATAAACAGAATATATATTTAACTACTTAAATTAATTTCAAATGGGCTGATACGTGTGCGATGCTCTGCATTTTCAATTTCATGGCTTAAGTGAACACAATGTATAAAGTAAGACAGGATGATTTGTGTCCTGAAAATGATTTAAAATAATTTTCAAAGATGAAGGTAGTTTAGTTTAATTAAAGAAAAAAGAGTCAAACAAGTTTGTTGATACACTTTCAATTGCCATAATTTACTATTAAATTAGTTACTTTGTCTGCCGTGAGGAGCACCTACTTTAAACAGAAATTATCACATCATTAATGCATAAGTTTTGCCCCACTGTGCCATTGAACTCAGCTCTTGTGCGGCTTTCTTTATTTGTTTACCCAACTTGTGTGACGGGGAGCAGCCAACCCAAGATGCTACCCAACAATTACATTGCCGGCACAATTTATTCATGTTTTGCAACCTTTCTTTGGGCATTAGACAGTAGCTATTGTTTTCAATGGAGCGACAATGGCGCCGGCTCATTGAGTCAGTGAGTCAGTCGACTCCGGGAATCAGCTGCACATGTTTGGGGTCTGGCTTTTGGCTTGCTTGACAACCGCAGGCTCAGCTCCTGCGGTTTCCATTTTCATCATCATAAAGTCCGTTGAAAGGAAATCGATATGGGTAACTTAATCATGAAATGAAGTAGACGTCAAGTTGTCTTATATTTTCCAATTTCATGCTACTTCCTAATACGCTCTCAATCGAGCTTTTTGACTGTCTGATGTTGTATGTAATATTTGTTTTCTTTTGTATTTTTTGCGACTTCGCTGTATATTGGAGTAATTAATTTTTGTGAAAACTAAGAATGAAGTGAATTTTAAAGGAATTTTATTGTGAATGTGAGATCAGTTCTATTATTCTTTTTATTCAAATTATTATTATTATAATATAATTATTAAATTTTTTTTGACTCTGTTCATTTTCAATTCTTTGCTATAATAATTCGAATATTTAAAATAATTATATAAAAATAAAAAAAATAGAAAAATATTAGAAATTGTATTGCAAACTTCAATTTTCTTTCAAATATTTGAATACTAAAAAAAGTTTCGTTCTGTACTGTTTAGTATAGTGTCTAGGGTATCAATTACAAGGAACACTGCTCTTTGCTTTGCCAATGACGTTGTTGTTGATGTAGTTGTCGTCTCATCGCCTCCATGTGGGTGCTGGTGTTCGTGCGTCGCCAACTACTTTTCCACTTGGGGCTTTGTTTACCTATGAGCGGTAGTTCGAATGCAAGCGGTAGTATGGAGCGGGTTAAACTTGTTCCTTGGTTTTGTTTGTTTTCATTTCTAAGTTGGGTTACTTGTTTTCTAAAAAAAAAAAGTCTTTCCATACGCTTTGGCTTATGGCTGCCTTCAATCACTTGCCCTAGCCCTAACTATTCCTCCTGCTTTTCCTTTGCTGCAACCAATTTCATTTCATTTCCGTTGCGACTCCATTGAAGTTTCGACTTACTTTACACATTTAGCTGGAATGCAGGTCAGTGCTGTGCACTTTTATATTAATTGTATGACTCTGTGCTCAAACGCCCGATTCGAGCTCCTTGGTAAACCAACAACAATCGTGGCATGCACTCGCAGTCATTCGCCGTGGCATTCTGAGCAGGTAGCTGCACTCAAGGCTTATTGTTTCGTTATGCAAATATCTATCAAAGTTCCTTTGCCGCTGCAAATGGTTAAAAGCGTTGCCAGTACACAACCCACGTGATGCGAAAGGAATAACTTTTCTTAATACATAGTACATATCTATATTTTAGAACAATAATTGTTGCCAACCTTATCAATTCATTTTTGGTCTTATCATCATTTGAACAAATTTCAGAGATTTATAATGCCATGTATTCCACTTAATTCCAGGTTGAGATAAATGAACTGCGTTTGTAGTGAATAGTCCATTTAGATTACTGAAAATGAGAACATTGAAATATTATTACTATATTTTTATCCATTATTAATTTAAAATACTTACGTAACATAACAGTCGTCAAACCACCAGCCAGATTCCCATTTTGAAGCGCAATTTTTCATGTTGTTGTCATTATCCGAATCAAAAGTTGTGAACTTCATGTTTCTTTGCCATTTCATTGCATCGCCAGCGTCTCCAGAATATGAACCGAGCGAGATTAATTTAAAACCAGTTTCCTCGCTGCCTATCATAAACCGACTGTATCGAGCATAACGTTGTTCATTTTCAAAGTCCTCTAGGTATATATATAGCTCGTGTGTTTGCGACTTGGTAAGAAGGTGCAGCTTCTCAAGTCCAATGAAAAACTCCCCATGCATATCACCAAATCCGTGACGATAATTGTCCCAGTTTCTGTTGAAATTAACGCTTCCATCCTGCCGCCTTTGTATGACAGTCCAACCGGAGCCGGCCAAACTCGAGTCACAGGGCACCAGAAATGAGTCGATGCCAGGCACTTTTATCTCGTAAATATCGGTTAATTTGCCTATACAGCTCGATGATTGTGATTCTTTCAAATTTACTTTATACTCAGCCAGTTTCTCTTTCAGTTGAGTGTTTAGCTTAGTTAAGTTATTAATTTCCAACCGTAGTTTATCGATAAACGTATCCAGCGACTCAATCGTATGGTCTCTAGATCGAGTCACGTTCTCGCACCATTCGGTCCTGAGAAGCTGTTGCGCTAACTGAAACTCGATATGCTTAACCGTTTGCTCGCAAACTCCAACTCTTATTTTCATATTTGAATATTTCTCCCACAGTTCTTCTGCTTTTGTTTGTGTACGAGCTCTCAAGTACGGGTTATACCGTACCCAGACAGTATGTTGCGTATTTTTGTTCCAGTAGCTTTTCTTAAAAGAAAAAAATTCGTTATGTCACTTATATTCGATGAAACTAAATTATTTTGTTGTACTTCATTGTCAACCGTAGATGAATTAGTTTCACTATCCGATCTCTTGAGAATAGCAATGACTAATAAAAAGCCGTAGCTTAATAAGTTTTTCATTTCCGCAAAAAATATATTTTAACCGTCAACTCTTGACTTCAAACTGAATTTAACTTGGCTGAAAGTTGGCAACGAATCCCGATTTAGATTTTTTAATATACAAACAGATGATATTTTTTCCAATTTCACGCACCTGTTAATGTATACACTTGTGATTTGATAATTTTCTTAAAAGTCTGCAGTCTGACGTAATTTTAGTGGCCAATTTTCTACACTTTACATTCAAAAAAATATCGTCCATATTGGATAAGCTTATTATTCCAATATATGTAATATTTATTATACATTTATATTTATAGGTATAACGTTTAGTGTTTTAATATACACATATTTACATTATTTTTCGATGCAAATAATAAAGATCCAAAAATCCAAAAAATTATGAAAAAAAAAAACCATTTAAAATTCAACAAATATAAGATTAAAATTACATACATTTATGTTAATAAATAAATAATTTATGCTCAATGTATTTGTAATTATCTTCGGCTTAGTTGATGCTGGCTATACAAAACATCGAGTATATTGCGAGTATATTGTGAAAATACTTATAAACAGATATTAAACAAGAATATCTTGTTATCAAAAGTCTCCATTCCATGGATAGAAATATAGGAATATAGGGTAAATAAATACATTTTACAAAGCCTACTTTTTGGAGGCCTTAAATGTGGCTGTCAACGTGAACAAAATTACGCAAACGTGGTTGAATTTTATTTAACATATCATGTAACACCACGAAATGACCCACATGGAATGCCGTTTCGCAGTTGTCCTAGAAAAAATGCCCTTCAATTATTTGCAGCATTTTTTTCCCCCACAGCTCTGACAAGGCACTATTTTGAACATTGGGCGAGGCTGTAAGGAAACGAAACAAACACAAAAAAAAATGTATTAAATATTTTATGTTATTTAAAGTTCATTAAAAATGGATGTTCAGCGTAAAAGAGATTGACAGATGGGAAGAGGAGGCAGAGACTGCAACATTTATATAACTGCTCCCATTATTTTCGTAGGTTTATTTTATTTTATTTAGTTATTTTGTTTTTTACTTTTATTTATGCGTTTGCAATATTTCAGTTTCAGCTAGCCGCAAGTCCGGCAAGCAATTAGCAAAGTTTTACAGTTCAATTGTGCGGCAGATTTTTGCAATCGTTTTGACAGTTTGGCAACGCGCTTGAATTGTCATCAGCAACCCACAGAACTCCCTCCTGGCCAACAACAACAACAACAACGACAACAAACATATAAATTAACTTTTAGTGTACAGCTGTTGATACTTTTTGATCACACTATCACTGCACAAAATTGGGAGTTGCTTTACAAATACACGAGTGCACAGCAATGCAAATGCGAGCCATGTGTAGACATGTTTTTTGAATTTTGAATGCAGTTGACAACTCTATTTCAGACAATCACGTCAGACGAAAATCCACCCAATGCGTGTGACAACTTTTCTTATTTTCTGTATGCATACATATCTCTCTATGTGTGTGTGAGTGTGGAACTTTTCCACTTGGTTATTTGGCAAGTGGGTGTAATGGGCTTGTTTCTTATTATTAAACAAGTTATTTAAATTTTCTATTCAGAAGAAGTGTATTGAAAAAGTACAGTAACAGCAACGGTAGCAGTTGAATTGGCTCAACACTAAGAAACATTTACAGCTGTAGTAATAATAATATCAACCTGAGCAGTAGCAATATAAGTGAATATAGTTCAGTGATAAGAGGAAAAGAATATTAAAATAGCTAACATTCGATAACTTACCAACAGGGACTGTAAGCTTAACAGAACAATTGCATTAAAACATAAAAGTCAATCTAACAGAATTTAACTAAAGTCGTAATACCAAAGCATGAATAAAAAAATATAATTTATACTATAAAATATGATTTTCACAGAAAGTTGATTTCAATCCTTCCGGATTGTAAAAATCTAAAGAGCATAGCGCACTCGTTATCCATGTCTGCAGTTGAGAATATGGTGTTGTTGTGTTTGGTCAACCAATCGCCTGCATTACCAGAATATTCTCCAAGAATTCTTAGCATATATGATGTAGCCTCGTCAGCTATCAGAAACTCACTGTATCGGGCAAAACGATGTTGATTTTCAAAATCCTCAAGATGTATATATAACTCGTGTTTCTGTGACTTGGTCATTAAATGCAGTTTCTCAAGACCGATAAAAAACTCTCCATCCAGATTACCAAATCCCTGACGATATTCTGCCGAGTTTCTGTTAAAATTAACGCTTCCATCCTGTCGCCTCTGTATGACTGTCCAACCGGAACCAGCCAAAGTGGAGTCACAGGGCACCAGAAATGAGTCGATGCCAGGCACTTCTATCTCGTAAATTTCGGTCAATTTACCAATACAATTTGACTTAAAGGATTTTTTCACTTTATTTGCATCGCTTAACAAAACTCTAGACAGCATTTGATCAATTATCATTTCTTTAGCCTTGTTGTTTATTTCACAGACACTTAAATTGGCTTCCATCGCTCCTAATAGCTTCTGATATGTTATTATCATTTCCTCTTGCTCTATAATCTGCTGGTGTAAACCTTGTATGTTCATTGTTTGTTCAAGTGTGGGCTTTATTTTATGCACAAAATATGCTGACCAGTTTTCTTCCATTTCTTTGATAAAATCTTCCCTAGATTTTATCTTTGGCATATTGGGAACTTCACTCTCTGGCTCCTCCTGTTTTTTTTGATGATTTTCTGACTCTAATATCCAAATGACTACGCACACTATTAAAATAAATTGCAATTTTGAACTCATGGTTATTGAAAATACCCGATTACAATCATCACACAGTCAAGTTCAACAGAAGACTGAATCTGTTTGAGCGCGAACCGGCCATGAAGCTTTGTGTTTATACTCATGTGTACATGTATAAAAGCTGCTCAAATTGCAGCTGTTGCTTCTCTAATAAATATTTAAATGCTAACTGATATGAGTAATTTTATATTTTTCTTTAGCTATCGCACGTACGTTATTTTAAAGGAGGAAAGTAATTGCTTACAATTTTTATTATTCCCATAATATATACGAGTTTGCCTGCTATGTACATGATTACAAAAGGTCTCTCATTCGAACGATGGTCTGAAGTATATACTCTTCATATTTCGGCGAGTGACGATCCTACGGGCGCCGCTTGGATCTTGGCCATGAAGTGGCAGATCCTATTTCAAATACCCATATAGAAGTCCCATTTGTGTGTATGCATTTATATGTTTCATATATGTATATGCAATGTTGATATGTATGCGTGTGCATGATTACATTACCGTACAAAAAATATTGATATTGTTTGCTTTCGGTCGAATCATCACGAAGTTGGTTTAACTGAGCTGCAAGTAAAATATTGAAATTAATGATAAACATAAACAGAATATATATTTAACTACTTAAATTAATTTCAAATGGGCTGATACGTGTGCGATGCTCTGCATTTTCAATTTCATGGCTTAAGTGAACACAATGTATAAAGTAAGACAGGATGATTTGTGTCCTGAAAATGATTTAAAATAATTTTCAAAGATGAAGGTAGTTTAGTTTAATTAAAGAAAAAAGAGTCAAACAAGTTTGTTGATACACTTTCAATTGCCATAATTTACTATTAAATTAGTTACTTTGTCTGCCGTGAGGAGCACCTACTTTAAACAGAAATTATCACATCATTAATGCATAAGTTTTGCCCCACTGTGCCATTGAACTCAGCTCTTGTGCGGCTTTCTTTATTTGTTTACCCAACTTGTGTGACGGGGAGCAGCCAACCCAAGATGCTACCCAACAATTACATTGCCGGCACAATTTATTCATGTTTTGCAACCTTTCTTTGGGCATTAGACAGTAGCTATTGTTTTCAATGGAGCGACAATGGCGCCGGCTCATTGAGTCAGTGAGTCAGTCGACTCCGGGAATCAGCTGCACATGTTTGGGGTCTGGCTTTTGGCTTGCTTGACAACCGCAGGCTCAGCTCCTGCGGTTTCCATTTTCATCATCATAAAGTCCGTTGAAAGGAAATCGATATGGGTAACTTAATCATGAAATGAAGTAGACGTCAAGTTGTCTTATATTTTCCAATTTCATGCTACTTCCTAATACGCTCTCAATCGAGCTTTTTGACTGTCTGATGTTGTATGTAATATTTGTTTTCTTTTGTATTTTTTGCGACTTCGCTGTATATTGGAGTAATTAATTTTTGTGAAAACTAAGAATGAAGTGAATTTTAAAGGAATTTTATTGTGAATGTGAGATCAGTTCTATTATTCTTTTTATTCAAATTATTATTATTATAATATAATTATTAAATTTTTTTTGACTCTGTTCATTTTCAATTCTTTGCTATAATAATTCGAATATTTAAAATAATTATATAAAAATAAAAAAAATAGAAAAATATTAGAAATTGTATTGCAAACTTCAATTTTCTTTCAAATATTTGAATACTAAAAAAAGTTTCGTTCTGTACTGTTTAGTATAGTGTCTAGGGTATCAATTACAAGGAACACTGCTCTTTGCTTTGCCAATGACGTTGTTGTTGATGTAGTTGTCGTCTCATCGCCTCCATGTGGGTGCTGGTGTTCGTGCGTCGCCAACTACTTTTCCACTTGGGGCTTTGTTTACCTATGAGCGGTAGTTCGAATGCAAGCGGTAGTATGGAGCGGGTTAAACTTGTTCCTTGGTTTTGTTTGTTTTCATTTCTAAGTTGGGTTACTTGTTTTCTAAAAAAAAAAAGTCTTTCCATACGCTTTGGCTTATGGCTGCCTTCAATCACTTGCCCTAGCCCTAACTATTCCTCCTGCTTTTCCTTTGCTGCAACCAATTTCATTTCATTTCCGTTGCGACTCCATTGAAGTTTCGACTTACTTTACACATTTAGCTGGAATGCAGGTCAGTGCTGTGCACTTTTATATTAATTTTATGACTCTGTGCTCAAACGCCCGATTCGAGCTCCTTGGTAAACCAACAACAATCGTGGCATGCACTCGCAGTCATTCGCCGTGGCATTCTGAGCAGGTAGCTGCACTCAAGGCTTATTGTTTCGTTATGCAAATATCTATCAAAGTTCCTTTGCCGCTGCAAATGGTTAAAAGCGTTGCCAGTACACAACCCACGTGATGCGAAAGGAATAACTTTTCTTAATACATAGTACATATCTATATTTTAGAACAATAATTGTTGCCAACCTTATCAATTCATTTTTGGTCTTATCATCATTTGAACAAATTTCAGAGATTTATAATGCCATGTATTCCACTTAATTCCAGGTTGAGATAAATGAACTGCGTTTGTAGTGAATAGTCCATTTAGATTACTGAAAATGAGAACATTGAAATATTATTACTATATTTTTATCCATTATTAATTTAAAATACTTACGTAACATAACAGTCGTCAAACCACCAGCCAGATTCCCATTTTGAAGCGCAATTTTTCATGTTGTTGTCATTATCCGAATCAAAAGTTGTGAACTTCATGTTTCTTTGCCATTTCATTGCATCGCCAGCGTCTCCAGAATATGAACCGAGCGAGATTAATTTAAAACCAGTTTCCTCGCTGCCTATCATAAACCGACTGTATCGAGCATAACGTTGTTCATTTTCAAAGTCCTCTAGGTATATATATAGCTCGTGTGTTTGCGACTTGGTAAGAAGGTGCAGCTTCTCAAGTCCAATGAAAAACTCCCCATGCATATCACCAAATCCGTGACGATAATTGTCCCAGTTTCTGTTGAAATTAACGCTTCCATCCTGCCGCCTTTGTATGACAGTCCAACCGGAGCCGGCCAAACTCGAGTCACAGGGCACCAGAAATGAGTCGATGCCAGGCACTTTTATCTCGTAAATATCGGTTAATTTGCCTATACAGCTCGATGATTGTGATTCTTTCAAATTTACTTTATACTCAGCCAGTTTCTCTTTCAGTTGAGTGTTTAGCTTAGTTAAGTTATTAATTTCCAACCGTAGTTTATCGATAAACGTATCCAGCGACTCAATCGTATGGTCTCTAGATCGAGTCACGTTCTCGCACCATTCGGTCCTGAGAAGCTGTTGCGCTAACTGAAACTCGATATGCTTAACCGTTTGCTCGCAAACTCCAACTCTTATTTTCATATTTGAATATTTCTCCCACAGTTCTTCTGCTTTTGTTTGTGTACGAGCTCTCAAGTACGGGTTATACCGTACCCAGACAGTATGTTGCGTATTTTTGTTCCAGTAGCTTTTCTTAAAAGAAAAAAATTCGTTATGTCACTTATATTCGATGAAACTAAATTATTTTGTTGTACTTCATTGTCAACCGTAGATGAATTAGTTTCACTATCCGATCTCTTGAGAATAGCAATGACTAATAAAAAGCCGTAGCTTAATAAGTTTTTCATTTCCGCAAAAAATATATTTTAACCGTCAACTCTTGACTTCAAACTGAATTTAACTTGGCTGAAAGTTGGCAACGAATCCCGATTTAGATTTTTTAATATACAAACAGATGATATTTTTTCCAATTTCACGCACCTGTTAATGTATACACTTGTGATTTGATAATTTTCTTAAAAGTCTGCAGTCTGACGTAATTTTAGTGGCCAATTTTCTACACTTTACATTCAAAAAAATATCGTCCATATTGGATAAGCTTATTATTCCAATATATGTAATATTTATTATACATTTATATTTATAGGTATAACGTTTAGTGTTTTAATATACACATATTTACATTATTTTTCGATGCAAATAATAAAGATCCAAAAATCCAAAAAATTATGAAAAAAAAAACCATTTAAAATTCAACAAATATAAGATTAAAATTACATACATTTATGTTAATAAATAAATAATTTATGCTCAATGTATTTGTAATTATCTTCGGCTTAGTTGATGCTGGCTATACAAAACATCGAGTATATTGCGAGTATATTGTGAAAATACTTATAAACAGATATTAAACAAGAATATCTTGTTATCAAAAGTCTCCATTCCATGGATAGAAATATAGGAATATAGGGTAAATAAATACATTTTACAAAGCCTACTTTTTGGAGGCCTTAAATGTGGCTGTCAACGTGAACAAAATTACGCAAACGTGGTTGAATTTTATTTAACATATCATGTAACACCACGAAATGACCCACATGGAATGCCGTTTCGCAGTTGTCCTAGAAAAAATGCCCTTCAATTATTTGCAGCATTTTTTTCCCCCACAGCTCTGACAAGGCACTATTTTGAACATTGGGCGAGGCTGTAAGGAAACGAAACAAACACAAAAAAAAATGTATTAAATATTTTATGTTATTTAAAGTTCATTAAAAATGGATGTTCAGCGTAAAAGAGATTGACAGATGGGAAGAGGAGGCAGAGACTGCAACATTTATATAACTGCTCCCATTATTTTCGTAGGTTTATTTTATTTTATTTAGTTATTTTGTTTTTTACTTTTATTTATGCGTTTGCAATATTTCAGTTTCAGCTAGCCGCAAGTCCGGCAAGCAATTAGCAAAGTTTTACAGTTCAATTGTGCGGCAGATTTTTGCAATCGTTTTGACAGTTTGGCAACGCGCTTGAATTGTCATCAGCAACCCACAGAACTCCCTCCTGGCCAACAACAACAACAACAACGACAACAAACATATAAATTAACTTTTAGTGTACAGCTGTTGATACTTTTTGATCACACTATCATTGCACAAAATTGGGAGTTGCTTTACAAATACACGAGTGCACAGCAATGCAAATGCGAGCCATGTGTAGACATGTTTTTTGAATTTTGAATGCAGTTGACAACTCTATTTCAGACAATCACGTCAGACGAAAATCCACCCAATGCGTGTGACAACTTTTCTTATTTTCTGTATGCATACATATCTCTCTATGTGTGTGTGAGTGTGGAACTTTTCCACTTGGTTATTTGGCAAGTGGGTGTAATGGGCTTGTTTCTTATTATTAAACAAGTTATTTAAATTTTCTATTCAGAAGAAGTGTATTGAAAAAGTACAGTAACAGCAACGGTAGCAGTTGAATTGGCTCAACACTAAGAAACATTTACAGCTGTAGTAATAATAATATCAACCTGAGCAGTAGCAATATAAGTGAATATAGTTCAGTGATAAGAGGAAAAGAATATTAAAATAGCTAACATTCGATAACTTACCAACAGGGACTGTAAGCTTAACAGAACAATTGCATTAAAACATAAAAGTCAATCTAACAGAATTTAACTAAAGTCGTAATACCAAAGCATGAATAAAAAAATATAATTTATACTATAAAATATGATTTTCACAGAAAGTTGATTTCAATCCTTCCGGATTGTAAAAATCTAAAGATTTTCTATTGAATATCTACGTGTCTTTTAACACAAATTCAAAGCGTAGCTAACTTAACTATAAACGAGGACAAAAACTGGAATCAACTTAAATTAACTTTGCATATATATATATATATATATATATATATATATATATATATATATATTCTGATTTTATATGTTGACAACAATTTCATGTCGTCTTAGCCTTAGTGGACGTTTCGCTTACTAGCTACGACCCAGTTTTTCTGAATAACTGGCGTTGTTCAACACTATCCTGCTACAACTATGCCAAACAATATAAAGTAGGAGTGGTAGCGGGTGTGAGAGAAATAAAAATACAAACATTGCGCACAATAGTTGAGTAAAATAAACAAAACTTTTTGCCTGCCCGGGCACATTTGAAACTTTATTCATGTGCATCGTTTGCCGTTGTTGCTGCTGCTCTGTCATTTTGTTGTTTATTTCAGAAATAAATGAAATAAAATAAAATAAAAAATGAAAATTGAGAAAAGTTTTTTAGTTATTTTCTTGTTTCTAGATAATTTTTTGTGGTCTGTTTACTGCTGAGTGAATATTTCACTCATTTTTGATATTTTTCTTTGGAATTTTTTCGTACCAGTTCCAATTGCTGGAATTTGCTTGACTAAAGCAGCTGCAGCTCCTTTTTGGCATAGTTTGCATGCCTTCAGAGTCTGTGATTGAAAGGCATTTCTGGCTTTTTCGGAGATGTGATTTTCGCTCTGAACATTTGTTGCATGTCACATTGTTGCTGCTGCAACATAGTTGTAGCAAGTAGTTGAAGCTGCTGCTGTTTTTTGGTTCGGTTCGGCTTACAAATGTTGCAACGTGCAACTATTAAATAGTTTTGCAACAGCTGCCACTTCCATCCAAGGAGCTGTAGCAGCTGCCACAGGAACTTTTTGCTTTTGTGCCACTTAAATGTAACCCAAAAATTTCCAAAAGTCCCAAACAACTTTTGCCCTGTTCGTTGCCGCTCCTTTTTAAACAAAAGTCAAATGTTTGTTGCTGATTTGCCTTGTGCTCTGCAACGGAACAGAGAAAATGAATCAAAAGTGTCCAAAGAAATTCGTTTGAATATACTCACTTTGGTTTCTACTTTCTAATCAATGCAAATATTTTGTATATTTTGCGTTACGTTTTTCGTTATTGAAAATTTTTTATATTAGCATTTATTGTTTAAGCTTCTCGTTAAATTCAAAATTTCATTAAAACAATTACCTTGCTTGTACTTAGCAGCAACTAAATAAACATAAATTCAATGTGCCCACTTAATGTCTCTTGGGTAAATATTGATTTCAGCCGCTGTTGGAATTGGAGTCCGCACCATTCCCATTTGGTGGAATTACAATTTATCTATTTCCGATTAATTTGCCCAACCGAATGCTGTGCCTTCTACATAAATCAAAGTTTCCTTTAATCAAATGTATATTATTTGCCAAGTAAAGCATTTCACAAGACCATTGTGATATTAAACGTTATTAATATGTAATAAAGAAGGTAAATATCGGGCAAGCATTTGCTTGACTGCCTGTGATCGATGTTGTGCTGCCTGCTTACAGCCTGTTAGAACGTTGTCAATACAACTAACTTCATAATTTCTAACTGGCTATACATCAATTTATTTACCTATCTAACTACTTAACTATCTATCTACCGGTATTTCATTGAAATTAACAAACATCATAATAATTTCCTTACACACTCAAAAGCATTTATTGTGTGGCTTGTCTCAAGGAAAACTTATTGTCTACATTCGCACTGATTAGAAATACAGTCGTTTGTCTTAGTTTGTAGCTCATTATAAATGTTGCTTCAATATGCAGGTGTATTTTAGACAATAATGTATTCAATTTGCTTGAACAAGTTTGAATAAGAAGCTTCCAGTTGAAACAATATATGTGTTTAATTAAGAGTTTCAAATAGTAACGTACCGAAATAACTTACGCATATGAATTTTGCTCGATTTTCTTTTCTTGTTCCCCTTTCCGCAATAAGAAGGTATGCAGCTTACTTTTAGTATACACATAATTATGAGTGTAATTTTTAAGGTGTGCAAATAATTTAGGAATCGGATCATAAGCCCAGAAGATAGTTGGGAATTCTTTATAATTTAGGGCTAAGAAAATGCTACTGGTGTGTAAGTATACGTTCTAATTTTCTATAGCACTCTACTTTTCTTTGAAGCACGCTCCTGTACAAACTTGAGCATAAATTTGAAATAGAAATATTAAAAAAAAAAATAATTAGAAAGGGAAGAAACTCTCATCAACATGGCGTATAATTAACGCCAAGCAAGTTCAAATTGCGACAAATTAAAAGTGGCCGGAAAATTGTGCCTATAAAGAAAATAGAAAATATAAAATAAAAGAGAGCTTGTCAGGGACAAAAAAGAAGGAACGGAAAAACGTTGTTGAAAAGTGGCCAAGCAAATCGGCGTATTATAAACTAAATGAAGGCAGCTATAAAGTAATTTAAATGTCGACCAGAGCCGAGCGGAGAACCAGCTCGAAAAGGACGGCTTACACACATTTAATGAGCGGCCGGGCTCAGCGAGAAAAACTCGTTAACAGCACTGGACACAAAAGAACTTAACGGTGAACGTTGAGCAGGGAGTAAGAGGAAGAGGGTTCCTGAATAGCGCAGCATAAAAGAAAAGGTAGCAAAGTTGGATGAAAACCCAGTGAGGGACGCAACTTGAAAAAAAAGGACGATTTTCATTTGAAAGGTCCTGTAAGCGTTGTGCTCGATAGGGTGAGGAGGGTTGGAGAAGTTGCTTGGGCTAGCCGATCAATGTGCACCATTGTGTGTGCGCTGTCAACGTCGGACGCTGGGCGAAACGCCAATCATTCAACTGATTAGTTTGATTTTAGCGTTACGTTATTTCCGTAATCAATGGAGCTGCAATGGAAGCGACCAATCGAATGGACAGCGCTGTGATGAGTTGGCTTTTTTGCTAAAACTGCTCCTAGACAATGGACCTCAGGGGCTACTCACGCACACACACTGGCACACACGAAAGACAATAACAACTGGTGTGGCAGTAATTGGGCGCTGAGTACTGCAGGTTGTTGTTGTCTGCCGAGGGGGGCGGGAGGGCGTGCCACAACACCGGATGTGGGCCGCGCGTAACAATTATGGACACAGGACCGACCCAGCCAAAAAGTAACCTAACCAGCACTAATTGCTTGACTAGTTAGCATTTGGCTGCACAAGTTTTCCTGTTCCTTTTATTCCTGCTTGTTTTTTCCTCTTTTTTTTTTTTTTTTTGGGCTGCCAAATTGAAATATTGATTAAGTTATTTTAGGGGCAAGGACTGCTGCATGCTGGTGAAAAGCGGAAAGCAGCAAAAATTCATTAGGCATTGCGGACATTGTGTGATATGGTTAAAAATTCAATGTGTTAGTTTTGGGAAATTTATTTGCTTAGTATATTTGATCAAAAGGGCTAAATGGTCAAACGGAACTTTATATATCGATTTAGAAAGCTATGCAAGGACAAAATATGAACTGCAATATGAAATTTTCGTTTTGGCTTTAAAAACGCAACTGAACATTTTAATACGACCATTTGACAAAGCGTGGCCCCTGTATATACAACATCCGTCTTTATACCCGGAATTTCCAGGCAATTCTATGCAGAATAAAAACAAAAAATACTTTATATATACGTTATAAATCTTTTGAATATTAGACGTTGGTTCATAAAGTAGCTGCTTGCAACCCGCACACACTTGTATGCTAATGTCATTTGGTTGCCGTTTGTGGGGCTTTTAAATGCCGTTGTTTCTGACGCCCAAATGTAGGCAACTGTTTTGTTTTACTGGTATCTCAACATTTTGCACGAGTCACGCCCATAATCCATAAGTTAAACTCACAGTTTAGATGTGTGTGTGTGGGCTTAAATGTTTGTGTGTGTATATGTGGTCGCTAACCGTGTCTGTTGACCCGCTGAAGGCGTGCCACACTCTCCGCCAACCTTCCATTGCCGCGCTGCGGTTTGTTCGGCCAACAAATAAACAAAGTGCACGGTTGGTTATAAAAACCGAAAACCAGAACCAGAAACCCAAATCGCACGCTTCAGTTCTAAAGGGTTAAAGTGGCCTTAAACGACATGGGGATTGGGGCCGTGTCTATGGCAAAAGAGGCGTGTATTTTGTTAACAATTTATGATTATTTTTACTTGCTCGTGTGCCTTTTTACTTTACTTTATATATTTCCTTCTCCACCATTTGTTTGGCCTGCCAACTACTGACCCGCATTTATGCAGACGAAAAAAAGGTTAAAGGTCCTTTTGGGCTTGGGCTGGCGAAATATATTTTGCATAAATAGAAATTTTCTTTCAGACGCAGTCTCCCAGACGCCGTTGCCGCTGATGATGTGCTAATCCTGACACACTAAAATTGCTCATACGCCACGTTGGCCAGAGACAAAAGTATGTGCGCGTGTGTGCCCGAGTGACCTTCTTTGGGCTGGCTACGGCAGAGTGGGGCCAAGTGGGCGCCCCAGCAACATAATCATTTCGATTGAATGTGTTTTTTATGATGACTTTATTTGCAACATTTTACGATTGTTTGAGGTGCTTAAAGACACATTGTGGCTCGATAGGAAATTGGAAACGCCGGCCAAAGGTAGTAAATTTGGTGAAATGTTGTCTTCAAAAATTCCTGAAAAATATTCTGGCGATGCGACCGATGCACTTGTTGAACATAAGAATACGAATCTGCTATGGCTATATAATTTTGTAAAATTGAATGAAAAATGTGAGTGAGTTTGGTAACAATTGTATTTTCAATATTATTAACACCAACACCAATTTATAAACCCTAATTGTATTATATTTATGATAGTAAAAATCAATTAAAGAAATTCTGAATATGAGTATTTAATAATGAGAACCTATAGGATGAATAGAGGAACTTGGGCATCTCTCCTATTTCTTATTTCTTATTTCTATTTTTGGCATTTG